TACAAGAAATATACATTTTCCAAAGACAATAATATTGCACATTCTTTAAAATTAAACACTTGGTTCGTCTCTTTAAACTATTGTCTATCCAGCAATTTGTGCGGGATCGATGATTTTGTTCCGCTGGTAAACCATGAACATTCCCTGCAAAATAAATCTATTTTTTTTATGACATTCACACTCGTAATTCAATTGGTAGTTTCTGGACTTAAATATTATAGTAGTTGTTCACAAACTTGGCATCTAATACCTTAAGTAGCTACCTCCAGGCCGAAAAAAAAGGCAAAAAAATTCGAACTTTGTTATTCTCTTGCAAAAACCATATGGTCCCTATTTTATTTTGCTTCTTCCTGTAGGCAGGAATTCCCAACACACACTCTTCCGAAATTCCAAGCAGCAATATTAAACCAACAATCTAGCTTTGTTGCCACTGTTTGCCAGGCCACTACCATGGCCACGAACAATAATTACTCTTCTGTAAGCATAGAGAGGGAGACAAGCTGGGTGCTTGACATGGAGAAGAAACTAGCACGCAACAATCCAGCTGAGCTCTCCGACGAAGAGACTCAATGGAAGAAACCATCTATATTCAGATTGCCAGATTTCGTGAGGATGATGATGCCAGATGTGTTCACGCCAAAAGTTGTCGCAATCGGTCCCTACCATCATGGCAAAAATCATCTTCAACCAATAGAGTTTCACAAGGAAAGGGCTCTCCACCACTTCCTGAAGAGGAGTCTCAAGTCTCTGGAAGTTTATGTGAGAGAAATTAAGACTGTAGTAAAGGAGCTGCAGGGCTCGTACGTTGGGCTTGAGGAGGAATGGAGGGATCAAGATAATTTCATAAAGCTTATGATAGTTGATGGCTGCTTCATGCTGGAAGTAATGAGGCTCGATTCGGAGCATTGTAAACATTATGCCCCTAGCGATCCTTTCTTTGGTCTGCATGCGTTGCAGCACAAGATTCCTTACATGAGGAGGGACATGTTGATTCTGGAGAACCAACTGCCTATATTGGCATTCAAGAAGCTGGTCTCTGTTGAAAAAAACGTAGATGAAAATGTAATTATTAGTTATCCACACAGCGCGTTTATATATTTATGTCTGTTGGCGGGGTTTACTGTAAGTCCCCTCAGGTCAC